CTTGGTGGTCAGAAGACTTTCATGGCTCAACTTGTTAAAGGTTAAGAGCAAAGTTCATAATGAGTATTGGTGCATAGGTGGTGACTTTAATGCAGTCTCCTCTTTGAACGAAAGGCTTGGAGTAGGGTCAAGCAGTAGAGTTAGAGAGGTGGAGGATTTCAATGGTTTCTTTGATAACATGAATCTTATCGATTTGCAGTGTGTAAGAGGGTGTTTTACTTGGTTCAGCAGTAATGACACTTTGATGAGTAGGCTTGATAGATTTTTGTTGTCTGAGAGTTTGATTGATAGATGGAAGATTTTGGTCTAGTGGATTGGGAAGCGAGATATATCTGATCACTGTCCAATTTGGCTAAAATCTAGTTCTTAAGATTGGGGTCCTAAGCCTTTTCGTTTCAACAACTATTGGTATAAGCACGATGATTTCGCCAAATTTGTGAAGGATGAATGGTCTAAAATTCAGGTGAATGGCAGAGGAGATTTCAGGTTTAGTGAAAAACTTAAGAGGTTGAAGATTAAATTGAGAGATTAGAATAAATCTGTTTTTGGATGGATTGATCTGAAAATTCAGGAGGACATGATTGACATCAATGATTTAGATGGTATCATCATTGATAACCATGAGAGTCCGATTGATAATCTCCTAGGATTAAGATCTAATAGCATTGATAGTTTATGGAAGAACATGGATTTAAAGGAGAGAATGTTGAGGATCAAATCTAGGCAATTATAGTTGAAAGAAGGTGACAAAAATTCTCGATTTTTTCATCATACTTTGAAGGAGAGGCATAGAAGAAACATCATTATTGTATTGGATGATGAAGGCGTCAGTTTGGGTGGAGTAAGGGAAATCAAGCAAGAGGTGAAAACTCACTTTGAAGAGTTTTACAAGGAACCATGTTTTTCAAGACATGTACCCGACTGTTTGAATTTTAAATGCTTACTTAAACCAGACATTAGCTTTCTTGAGAAGGAGTTTTTGGAGGAAGAAGTTAAGGAGGCTATTTGGAGCTGTGACGAGGACAAATGTGCAGGTCCTGATGGCTTTAGCCTTGATTTTTTCAAGAGAAGTTGAGAATTCATAAAAGAGGACATCATGTTGTTTGTGAGTGATTTTCACCGTAAGTCTATACTATCCAAATCTATAACAACTTTTTTTTACTCTTATACCAAAGGTTAATAATCCCCATATTTTGAATGAATATAGACCTATTTTTCAGTGAGTTCTTTGTATAAAATTCTAGCGAAAATCCTTGCTTCTAGGCTAAAAATTATTGTTGGTAAGCTTGTTTCTCTTAAACAATCTGCTTTCATCCTGGATAGGTGCATTTTGAACGGGGTTTTGATGGTTAATGAAGTGTTAGTTTTGGAAAAAAGAGATAAGAGAAGTTGTTTCATTTTGAAGGTTGATTACAAGAAATCTTATGATACCGTTAGTTGGAATTTTTTATATTCGTTTTTGGTAAGATGGGGTTTAGGGCTAAATGGACCACTTGGATGAAGGAGTGTGTGTTTAATAGTTCTATGCTGGTGTTGGTTAACAGAAGCGCGAATGAAGATTTTAAGGTAGAGAGTGGGCTTCGTCAAGGTGATTTACTCTCACCTTTCCTCTTCGTGTTGGCCATGGAAAGTTTGTCTTCATTGATGGATGCTTCTGTGTCTCAAGGAGAGTATAAAGGTTTCAAGATCAATGAAGATTTCTCTGTTGACATTTTGCAATTCACTGATGACATTTTAATAGAGGACAATGATTGCGACAATCTTTGGAGCATTAAGGCCACCTTAAGAGGCTTCGAGTTAATTTGAGGTTTAAGGGTGAATTATTTTACAAGTAACATTTACGGGGTGAATGTGAGTAGATGGTGCTTGAAGGCTGCATCATCTTTCCTCTCCTGCTAGGTTGACGGTTTCCCATTCAAATTTTTAGGAATTTGGGTAGGAATCATTCCAATGAAATTTCTGATGTGGAAGGATTTGTTGAGTCATATTAGGAATATGCTTAATTCCTGGAATGGAAGACTTCTTTCTTTGGGTGGTAGAGTTGCAATGATAAATGCAGTGTTAAATGCCCTCCCCGTCTACACATTCTCCTTTTACAAGGCGCCTAACAAGGTTTTGAAAGAGATTCATCAAATTTTGAGTAATTTTCTGTGGAATAGAACAAAAGCGTGAAAGAAACCAATTCATTAGGTAAGATAGGATCGTGTTTGCAAACCGAAGGACTGTGGTGGTCTTGGAATAATTGATTTGGAGGTTTTTAATAAAACTCCAAGAGTAAGTTTTATAACTTACTCCACAATCATAACCTTTAAATTAGATTTAATCGAATGGTTATAAGTAAAAAGTCTAATTTAACCACTAGATTAGATTCAATTTAAAGGTTATGATGTGGATTAAGTTGAAAAAACTTATTCTTTGTGTAAGTTGATCCTCTCTCTCTCTCTCTCTCTCTCTCTCTCTCTCTCTCTCTCTCTCTCTCTCTCTCTCTATATATATATATATATATATATATATATATATATATATATATATATATATATATATATATATATATATATATATATATATATATATATATATATATATATATATATATATATATATATATATATATATATATATATATATATATATATATATATATATATATATATATATATATATATATATATATATATATATATATATATATATATATATATATATATATATATATATATATATATATATATATATATATATATATATATATATATATATATATATATATATATATATATATATATATAATAGTGTAAAGATTAAATTACACTATTTTTTAATTTATGATTTTTTTTCTTCAACTTTTTAAAATTTTCTCTCAAAATAATTAATTGCACAATATTTTTTATTATTAAAATAAATTTAATAAATTTAATTTATACTACATGCTTTATAAGAAAAATTATGTATGATTTTAAGACTTAATGATCATGGTGTTCTTTGCTAGCCATATGTCCAATACGGATGAGATCCAAATATCCAGTCCAACTGTAACACCCACATATAATATACAACTAGAAAATATATTATACATAGTGTAATTGTTATTGAATACACATAAGAGGCTATCAGCAATGATATATATACATGTTCAAAGGAAATAATATACACAAACGACACATGTTATACAAAGGTGTCTAAACAAATAAAATGGTTCTTTTTGACGGACTCTTTCCTTCACTAGAAGAACACCGACTAAAATTTTAAATATCACACCGTCCACAACATATAAAATGGACTTATAAATAAACCAATTAAAAAATTTCATCAATCGGACTCTCAGAGATCCACCATCCCCTTCCCAGATCATAATTCACTTAGCTTCCACTCTGAATGGTCTTTATCGACTGACTATTTCTTTCACTAGAAGAACACTAACTAGAATTTTCAATATCAGACCGTTCACATCGTGTAAAATGGACTAAGAAACAAACAACTTCAAAAATTTCATTAATCGAACTCCCGGAGGTCCACTACCACCTTCCTTGATCCATAATTTAGAGGTCTTCCACTAGAAATGGTCTTTCTCGACTAACTTTTTTCTTTATTGCAAGAACACCAACTAAAATTTTCAATATCAGACCATCCACATCGTTTAAAATTGACTATGAAACAAACAAATTTAAAATTTTCATTAATCAAACTCCCAGTGGTTCACAACCACCTTCCCTGATCACAATTTAGAGGTCTTCCACTAGAAAGGGTCCTTCTCAACTGAGTATTTCCTTTATTGGAAGAACACCGACTAGAAATTTCAAAAAAAAATTCAAAAGTTTCATCAATTTGAATCTTGAAGATCTACCATCACCTTCCTAGATCACAATTCACAAGACTTCCACTAGAAATGATTTTTCTCGACTAACTATTTCCTTCACTAGAAGAACATCAACTAGAATTTTTAATACCAGACTATCCACATCGTGTAAAATGGGCTAAGAAACAAACAAATTCAAAAATTTCATTAATCAAACTCTTGGAGGTCCATCATCACCTTCTCAGATCACTATTCATACACCTTCCACTAGAAAGAGTCATTATCAATTGATTCTTTCCTTCACTGAAAGAATACTAACTAGAATTTTCATTATCAGACCGTTCACATCATGTAAAATAGACTAACAAACAAACAAATTCAAATATTTCATCAACCAGACTCTCGGAGATCCACCAACACCTTCACAACCCATAATTTATAAGTCTTTCACTATAAAGGGTCTTTCTCGATTGACTTTTTCTTTCACCAGAAGAACATCGACTAGAATTTTCAACATCAAACTGTCTACGCTGTGTAAAATGGACTAAGAAACAAACATATTTAAACATTTCATCAACCGGACTCACGAAGGTCCACCACGATCACCCTCTAAGATCACAATTTTTGGGCTTCTACTAGAAAATGGTCTTCTTCATCTGACTATTTTTAAATCCTATCTTTAACTAACGTGGAATTTGAGTTTTTCCTAATAGATAGTAACATTAATATTGCACAAAAATTAATTGATGTTACGTTAAAAAATAAACAGAAAGTTGTGTAAATTATTTTGTCCAGCTTCTTTTTATATAATTTTAGATCGTATAGTGGAACGTCCCAAACAGTTGAAATGGAATTAAACAATTGCACCAGCACTGATATTTGAAACAAACCTTCGTTTCTTTATAATAATAAACAGAAGAATCTACCTATTATTCTGTTGTTTTCTCTTTATATCACTTGTTATCACAAAAATCCAACGTTTGTACATTTTTCAAACCAAATCCCCAACGGTCCAATTTCACGTGAACGCCGCTAAGAATAAACAAAACTATAACAGGACAGTAACTAACGTGCAATGACACGATGAGGACAAGGTTTTTGTCCAACTCAAGAGATTTCAAACTTACAACTATTATCTTCTATGTTATAAAGTAGTAACAAAACAAAGCTGAAAATTGATACATTCTTCACTGAAATTTATCAAATGGGGAATTGTTCTTTCAAGGATACAACTGGAGAATGCCATCACTCTATCCGAATTCTAACCGACACTGGTTCTATTCTACAGCTCAAAGGTCCTAAAACAGTTGCACAAATCCTTGAAAAGTATCGCGGTTATGGTGTCTTTCGCCAAGGCCATGCGTCATTGCCGTTACGAGAGCAAGAGAGTTTAAGCTATGGTTTTCTCTATTATCTTCTTCCGCTGAAGGAGGACCAAAAAGCTGGGAGTGGTGAAAGAGTAGTGCGCGTTGCAGCGTGTGATTACGTGGAGAATCTGTCAAATGGTTCGGCTCTTGAAGTGTTGCCGTATTCGGTTAAGAATGGTGTGTGGAAAGTGAAGTTGGTGATTGATACAAGACATTTGGAGGAGATTTTGTCGGAACAAGTGAATACCGGTGCATTGATTGAGAAGATGAGAATGGCCGCAACTGCATATTCTACTGGTAGTCCTACAAGGAGCAGAACCATGAGTGCTTGGAAAGCGGGGTGGAAACCAACATTGTTTGGTACATTCTTGACGCCGGTTAAGTCTGGAAAAATTACGAAAAGTGCTGTTGTTGCTGCTGCAGAAGAATCAGTTTCGGATTTGGATTCTTGTTAAGAAAAGGCTTTCTGGTTTATGTTCAAGATTTCAAGAATGAAATTATGAGTATGTTAAATTATTAGTGTTAGGTTTTCCCTAACTACAAGGTCCATATATTTGGAAATTCTAGGTCTCGTTTGTGAATATATTTGGATGACTAGTCCAAATATTGATGATATATATGCCATTAATGCAAGTGTTATTGAACACTTTTTTCAGCGACCTTAATTTTTTATTTATGTTGTGAATGCCTCATTACTAAATGGCCTAATCATTGGTGTTAGAACAACAATTAATAAAAGAGAAAATAGAAACCCATATTGCAAACAATTAATATGTAGGAAAAAAATAATCATTGTTTAAAAAGGAATATTAATTATTAGTTGTCTTGGTACGTGTAAAGAGTCAGAAAACGAAACTTAAAAAAAAAATGGAGGGAGTATATTATAAGAATACTTCTAAAGAATATCAGTGTGATTATAAGTCATCACTATGCTAAAATTGTTTTTTTTATAGCCTACTTTAATAGCGCTTTTAAAATAAGCGCTATTAAAAAGGAAACAAACATATTTATAATAGCGTTTTATAGTAAAGCGCTATTAAAGAGTACAGAGAATATGATTTTGATAGCACTTTGTAAAAAAACGCTATTATAGATATTCACTAAGATAGCGCTTTTCTAAAAAGCGCTATTAAAATGTTGTATTACAATAGCACTTTTATAAAAGCGCTATTATTAAAAGCACTACGATAGCGCTTTTTAAAAATCGCTATTAAAATATGTAACTACAATAGCGCTTTCTAAGAAACCGCTATCGTTTCTATCATTGTGTTTTAAGATAGCGGTTTTATAAAAAGCGCTATTAAAATAAATCAGAGGGGCGATCCACACGGGCTTGAAAGTCCAAGTCCAATAGCAGTCAATGAAATAAAGAAATAAAAAGTAAAAATAAATCAGCAAAGAAAAACAATAGAAGCCAAGAGCCTTCTTCTTCGTATCATTACTCGGATTCCCCTCTCTCAATCTCGTTTCACTGGCTCTCTCTTTCAAACTCTCTTCATCTCCTCTTATTCTATTTCTGAATCTGGTTTACGTTTGTTGATGATGATTATTCTGAACGGTTTGGTTTTGATGATGGAAATCGATTGAAGTTTGAGGTTTACGGCGGAAGGAATGGAGATTTGGATTACTGAAAGAGGGGTTAGGGTTTATGATTGGGTGTTCGGTTGTTTCACTTTGAATCTCTCTTCCACTTTTGGTTCTGGTTTTGGGGGTGTTTTGAAGTTGGATTTACGGATGAAGTGGGTTTGAAGCCAGTTTAAAGTGAGGGATGGATTAACGGTCGGAGGTGAAGGTTTCTGGAAGGGGTTCCGATGGAGGTTTTGAAGGAGTTTTCCGGCATTTTGTGTGTGGTTCTGTTAATGGTGAGAGATGGAATGTGGATTCTGTGTTGAAGATTTTCGGATGTTGAAGTTAGGGTTAAAAGAGGGGTTTAGGTCCGGTTCTGTTTTGATGTTAACGGAGGGATGTTTCCGGTGTTTAACGGTTTCGATGGGTTTCTGATGTTGATAGCGGCGTGCGGCGGAGTAAGGTGGGTCGAAGGGAGGTTTGTTGTTCTTCAGGTTAGGTTTGGGCGTTGAAGGATTGAGACATTAATGTTGCCATCAGTGGAGACCCAAATGCTTGGCGAGAGAAACGTTTGTTGCGGTTCCTAAACAATGAGACAAACCGGTAAAAGCATCATTTTGTTTTAGTGTTAACATTTCTGCTTTTGTTTGTGATTATGCAAATTGGGTTATACTTGCGCGTTGAGTATTTTGTGCTTGTTTTGTGCAATTAGTTGGTTGGATTTTGATTTTGATTCGTTGAATGAGTTTGGCAATAGCTGGGTACTAGTATATTGAGGTTAATAACACTATTATTGATTAAGTTTCATGAAAAACTTTGTTGCCGATAACAGGGACCTAAGTTTCATTGAAAACTTTGTTGCCGATAACAGGAGGAGAAGTTGCGGAGAGGTTGGCAACACTTGGCATCACTGTGAATTTGGTAACATATTTAACAGGTACAATGCATTTAGGAAATGCTGATTCTGCCAACATTGTTACAAATTTTGTTGGAACGTCATTTATGCTTTGTTTGTTCGGTGGCTTTTTAGGTGACACTTACGTTGGAAGGTTCGTTTCATTCAAACTATATTTTTTTGTTAAATAGTTATTACAGTTTCATTCAAACTATATTTGTTTGTTAAATAGTTATTACAATATCAGTTTCACATAAGTATATGTTTCTTCTTTCACAGATATCTTAACATCGCCGTCTTCGCAGCCGTTCAAGCATCTGTAAGAAACCAAAATCTTAAAATATTCCTATTTATTTCCACTAGTTTTCCACCTTTTAATTCTTAATACTTGTTCGATGTTAGCTAAGGTTTATTGTCTACTGTTTAAATGTTGTCTTATTATGTGTGCATGTTTGTGTCTTTACATGTTATCATGATAATTTAATATAGGGTGTTGCTCTCTTGACGATATCAACTATAATCCCAAGCTTAAGACCTCCAGCATGCTTGGAACATACACCTTGTGTACAAGCAAACACAAAACAATTAATGGTTCTGTTTGTGGCGCTTTATGTCACTGCATTAGGGACTGGAGGTCTGAAATCCAGTGTTCCTGGCTTTGGTTCAGATCAATTTGATGCTACTGATAAACAAGAGAAGAAGCAAATGATTAAGTTTCTCAATTGGTTCTACTTCTTTGCAAATTTAGGATCTTTGATGGCAGTGACAGTTCTTGTGTTTATACAAGATCATCAAGGTAGAAATTTGGGTTATGGTATATGTGTCTGGGGTTATGGATGGTGTTGTTGTTGCTAACGAAGTTATAGATAAGGCTACTAGAGATAACATTCCTGTTCCAACTCCCTTCACAAGTGCCTCCCCCTTGCTTATGACATACTGTTTATCCATGTTCTCTGTGAAGGATTTGACTGCCAAACCCTCCCCAACAAAAGCATATACTGTTTTTATTTGTGATATGGTCTGTCATAATATAAGTATTAGAGTTTGTTATAATCAGCTATGTGACAATAGATTAGACTAAAAGTATCACTGATATTGAACACTTGGATTGTGTATATGTATAAAATGCACAATTTGTCATGTTGTAAATCATAGTATTGCACCATGCATGGATCGATGTCGTATACCTGTTCTATCATAGACGTGGCTTCAGAATGGTAAAACAATTTCGTAGTCGAGATTCTGTTCATTTTCTTAGTGTAACTTGCTCCAATTATGAGAATAAGAGGGACAACCACTAAACACAGAAGTGCTACTTCCCAACAGGATATTGCGGCGATCACAATCCCGGCAAAGAAAGTTGCACAGATAGAGGTAAAGTGACCCAACTGTGATCAAGAAATTCACTTGCTTGGTTCAGTCATAAAAAGAAAGATTAAACTTGTTACAATTATTTATTTGCTTACCTTTTCACCAATTGCATCTTGTATAACACTCATGTGCTTGCTTATTTATTTTCATGATTTACTTTGTATTTTGATTTTTTAATCAGAATAAAAGACCACTCCTAGTTGTTGCGGAAGATGTTGATAGTGATGCATTGGCTATGCTCATACTCAACAAGCATCAGGCTGGACTTAAGGTGATTAATGAGTTCATCTTTGTTATATTTCCTGCTACCTCATGGTTTAACAAACTTGATGGCTGGTTTTGTTGTCAAATTTGATTTCAGATTATTGTATCAGTAACTTGGATTTCTTTGTTGCTGTTACATGCAACTTGGATTTTGGTCATCATAGATATAGCATATTTGAAGTGTGTATCTTGTCATTTTCCCCCTAGTTTTGTGTGTTTGTCAAATGTTTTGTTTTATTTATGGATTTGCAAGTCTGAAGTAATGCCGAGTCCGAAGTAATGTCGCGCTTTCCCTATGTATTTTCGAGCTACTTGACACTTGGTTTTGTATATATTTGTATTCCATCTTATTTCAAGCTTCTTATATTTTAGGTTTGTGCTATAAAAGCTTCTGGTTTTGGGGATAATAGAAAAGCAGCTCTCGATGATCTTGCGATTCTTACTGGAGGAGAGGTGATTCTCTACCTACATTTTATTAACCAATTGTTGTTTTTGGGGCTTGGCCTCCTTCTATGGCTGTACTGGTTTTCTGTTAAATTATTCAATGACGAATCGAGTCATCCCAAGGTCTGGCATTTGGGATTACTGCATATTATGCTGAAAATGATCGCAATGAATTTGAAAACAGGTTATCACAGAAGAGCGCGGCATAGCTCTCAGTAAAGTCCGACCTGAAATGCTCGGCACTGCAAAAAAGGCACGTGGCTTGAACCAACATAACTGTTCTTTGTTTCCTCTATTTTGTTACAATGTTGCAGAAACATCTAATTCAATGTGCAACAGATTACTGTCACCATTGATGACACTATTGTTCTACATGGTGGTGGGGATAAGAAGTTTATTGAAGATAGATGTGTGCATGTATGTTTTCCCCATTTTTTTGGTTTTTTATAGTACTAAATTTTTACTCTTACTTTTGATCTTGAAAAAATTGCCATTAAGCCAAATGATTTTATTTCTATGTATGAATTTATCACAGAACTTTTGATTTAAATAAAAATACTACCGGTTCTTAAGTTATAACTTTGTGTAGCTAAGAGAAGCAATGGAGAGGAGTTCTGCAACATTTGATAAAGAAAAGGCATAAGAACGACTATCAAAACTCTCTGGCGGCGTTGCTGTTTTCAAGGTTTGTCATTCATCCTTAAAAACCACTAGTTTGTGGTGTTTAAGTTGTAATATTTACCTCACATGAAAGATGGGTTTAAAATTCTACAGGTCGGTGGGGCTAGTGAGGCAGAAGTTGGGGAACGGAAAGATAGGGTAACTGATGCTTTAAATGCCACAAAAGCAGCTGTGGAGGAGGGTATTGTTCCAGGTAACTCAATTTCGTGCATGTTTAGAATCACAGTGAGTTTTTCAGAACCACAGCGAGCCACCATGATTTTGACTAAAGTTACACTTTGGAGCTTCAACAAAATCGTGGTGCCACTGCGATTTTGTCAAATTCACCATCTCACCCCGATTTTGCTTAAATCATTTGTTTCATATTCTTGTTCACATCGTTTGATTACTTGGTCATCTATTAAAAGTCGGCATGTAATCGTTTTATCCAGGTGGCAGAGTTGCTCTCTTATATGCTAGCAAAGTCTTGGAGAATCTTGAAACTAAAAACGAGGATGAGAGAAGAGGAGTACAGATTATTCAGTACGCACTCAAGGTTTGTGCTGTTTGCTTCACACACAATTTTTGTCACAAAAAGTCCCTTTTCTATTTTCACTTTACCTCGAAATTTTCCATTTTTTCCAACAATGCTTATTACTTGTCACAGGCACCTACATTTACAATAGCTGCAAATGCTGGTTTTGATGGTTCTTTAGTTTATAGCAAATTGTTGGAACAAGATAATCTTAATTTGGGTTTCGATGCTGCTAAAGGTTAGTAACAACGAAGGTCTTGATGTTGTATCGTTTATGATACACTGACATATATGAAAAATGATTCTTTAGTAAAAAGAAGGTTGTTTAACTATGGTGCTTATTATGCTAAAACAGGAACTTATGTTGATATGGTGAAGGCTGGAATTATAGATCCTGTTAAAGTTGTTAGAACAACTTTGGTAGATGCTGCCAGGTAAAATCATCACATTGCAATTTTTTCCACTGCTTATATTTCATACATTACTATATGTTAAACTTGTTTTTGCCTTAATGCAGTGTATCGTTGTTACTGACGACAACCGAAGCACCTATAGTAGAAAATATGAGTAACAAAAACAAACCTCCTCAAAGGGTTGCGGATATGGATGATTTGGACTACTAAACCTGCTTCAACAAACGATGAAAGAAATTTTTTGCACTAATTTTCTACTTATTGAAGAAGTTACTTAAGTATAAACTGAGGGGGTGTAATTTAAGGAGTGAAGATGAAATTATGAAGCCATTCACATTCTTATAGGGAAAATTCATGTCTCATTCAAGTTATCATCACCAATAGGCTAAGATAAAAACTATTGGTGTGTTATCAAGTTATCATTCAAATTTATTGTTCTAGCATTGTGTGTTATTAAGTTTTACTTCATGGAAAAGCTTGGACATTCATCATCTGTATTTGTGATCCTATCTTGATTCAGGGATTTGAGGGATTTGAGTTATAAAATTTCATTTTTTTAAAAGAATAAATAAAGGGCATTAATAGCGCTTTTCTAGAAAGTGTTATTAAAGATAGTGTATTATAATAGCGCTTTGTTAGAAAGTGCTATCAAAATTAAAGCAATTTACCGGTATTTTAATAGCGCTTTGTTTGAAAGTGCTATCGAATATGTGGATTATAATAGCGCTTTGTTTGAAAGTGCTATTAAATATGTGTCTTATAATAGCGCTTTATTGGAAAGCGCTATTAAATATGTGTACTATAATAGCGCTTTGTTTGAAAGTGCTATCAAAATTAAAGAAAATTACCGGTACTATAATAGCGCTTTGTTTGAAAGCTCTATCAAATATGTGTCTTATAATAGCGGTTTTGTAAAAGCGCTATTAAATACAGGTCCTATAATAGCGCTTTTGAAAAAGCGCTATTAATTACCAGAACTATAATAGCGCTTTTAAAGCGCTATTAAAAATTTTGTTTTACAATAGCGCCTTGATTAATAGCGCTTTAAAGCGCTATTAAAAAACTTTTTTGTAGTAGTGCATACTCAATAATTAAAAACTGCTAAAATGATATTGCTACTAGAAAACTATGTTTATGGTGAGAGGAGTTTCAAAGCAAATGATTGGGTGAACTGTCGCAAATAAGAATTTCTCATTATAGAGATGTGGCAAATTAACATTTGTTTTGGACCGTTCACAAGGTCCACAAACTCCCGGTTTTATCTATGTTTTAATTCAGAAACTGTCGTTTGTGTTTTGTAGGCCCTCTGATAACCAAGCTGTCAAATTTAGAGTACACCATAGGGGACATTTAACTCAGAATCCAGTTCTGTTGTATGTTGATGGGCTTGTAACTTAAATGAATCGGGATTGGGATGTGGACTTGATGTCCTACATGCAAATTGAAGATTTGATCAAGAGTGAGGGGTATCGTAATTTAAAGTGTTTATGGTATTGGAATCCTAATTTTTCCTTTTCTCGTGGACTTCGGCCTCTGAACAATGATAATGATGTCTTAAGGTTAATGGAGGATGTTAGAGGATTTAAGGTAGTTGATCTTTATGTTGAACATAAAGTTGAAGAAATAAATATTCAGGATGTTATTTTTGAGAAGGATAATGGTGAAAAAGTCAATGGTGAAGGAGCAAACGGTGAAGGAGCAAACTTGAAGTTAATGTCGAGGGAGCAAATGATGAAGTTAATGTCGATGGAGCAAATGATGAAGTTAATGTTGAGGGAGCAAATGATGAAGTTAATGTCGAGGGAGCAAAAGATGAAGAGGTTAGTGTTGGTGGAGTAGATGAAGAGGTTAGTGTCGATGGAGTAGATGAAGAGGTTATTGTCGATGAAGTAGATGAAGATGTTAGCGTTAATGTTGATGACGTAGATGATGAGAGTGAAACAAATCCAAATTATAACATGGGTAGTGAGGATGACGAGGAAGAGGATGAAGATTTGGAAGATGAAATTGATATGATGAATTTAGGTGTTGATGTTAGTATTAATTGGAAGACCGTTTTACCTAATGCTACAGCAGAAAAAGCTTCAAAGTTGGATGGTAATTTCGATAATGGTAGTGAATCAGATGTGCTTCAAACTCCACCCGGTAGTGATGCTGAAGGTGATATGGAAAAGTTTCCAATATTTAAGGAACCCACAAAACTTGAAGTAGGGATGATGTTCAAGGATAAACAACAAATCAAAGATGTCATAAAGGAGTATGCAATGGAGAACAAGAAGAACCTTGTATTCAATAAAAACATAGATAAAACCGGGAGTAGGTATAAACAAATCATATGCTATGACAAAACACAAACGCCATTTACGTGTTTAGGGTTTTTGTATTCAGAGGTGAGTTACGAAACATACCTCAACACATGTGCTCGGTTTGCCATTTCAGAGACGACGGGAAGCGAGCTGCGTTTGATTTGAAGCGAGCTGCGGTTTATATAGAATCTTTAATTACGTGCGTGAAAGGGTAAGATTCGTTCTTGAAAGGGAAAAACCAAGAATCTTCATTCCCGAACTGGGTTTGAAGAAATGGGTTGAAGATGAAAGAGCTTGGGTTTTACATTTAGGTTTTATCTTATTAATTTTCTGAAAATGAAATAAACAAAACCTAAATGACATGGAAATGATATTAAAATGAATAAGACCATTTTAAATGACATGGAAATGCCACATCATCAGTAAACGTGCCACATCATTAAAAACATGACTTAAAATGGCAAGGGGACTAATATCAATCTCGAAACTTAAAAAAGGGACCAAAATCGTGGTTTTTAAAATGGGGGAATCAAAACCCAACAAAACATAAAATAGAGGGACCAAAGTTGCAATTAAGCCAAGACTTTTAAAGAAAAGGGCAAAAAAGTAAAGTTTGTTGAAAAGATAAAGGCATTCGAAAATAGAGTGCAGAAAACGTAAAGGCAGTCGAAAGTAAAAAAGGGTTAAAATGCATTCAAACAAGACGTATTAAGATAAAAATGTTGGAATGTATTAAATTGGTGGAATGCATACGTACATTTTCCTCACGTGTTTCTTACAGTGCAAGTACTTTGAGTGTAGCATAAATGTGTACAGTTTGCGGACCCCTTACAAAATAAACCTAAGTTGCTATATATACAAGTCTAAAATAATTGTACAAGACTAAAAAACTATCCCCGTGGTGACACGTCTTCAGATCACGTAGCGGTTTTTTCCTTGATGTGTCCATGTTTTGAGTAACCATCGATGCATATGCAATAGTTCCCGCCTCGCTTCTTCTTTTGAATCTTTCAACTGCTCTATTTACGCCAAGAACTAATAATCCTCGTCGAAACCTCTATCGTCGAATATATTAAAGTAACATGCTTTGACGCGTTGCCCATCATCATAGTGAACTCTACACTTAGCCAATATGACCTGGTATTCCATTTCACTAACTGCTACCATAAAATGGTGCTCAATTCACTAACTCCATATGCTTTTCGTTAGGCTTTTTGACAACACCACTTTCGACCAACATCACTATAGGTGACCCCGACCTTGAGTCACATTAATCACGTTGACTCTATTTTTGTCTTCCACGTGGCACATTTATGGTTAGCCTCATGAATACTTTCCATTCATAGTTATGTCGAAAAATCCAGTGTAACAAATTGCCCCCCAAAAGGATATGTTTCGATTTTCATCAAACAAGAGAGACGTGGCCTTTTTCATCATAATTTTTTGACGACGTTTCCACTGTTGCTGACGTCATCGTTATCATTACCCTTTTTACAGTGCATTGTCACCTCCAAGTGATTCACCTAACATCTCATCATTGCTCCTACTTGCTAGGAAGACGTGGGTTTTCACATTTTTCAGTAACTGCTTCCATTCACCATTAATGCTTGCATCGAAACCCCACGCTAACTCTTCAGTTTCTCCTACGCCGGTGTAAGGTGTCGAATTTCATGCATGCATAAAAGTCTATAAATAGACTCCCTAAGCTATTTTCTTCTCCATTCACTTTGTCTTCCTACGTTCTCATTTTCCTCCACAAAAAACACGCCAAACCCCTTTTTACCATGACCACAAACAAGGTTTACACCAAACACACCACTGGCAACAATCCGTTAGCCTTCGAGATTCCTCCTTCTGAAGACAAAGGGGTTAAGGATTTTCCTCCCGAGCTTTCTTCGGATAGCAACAAGATTTCCATCTGGAAAAAAAATGTTAATTCCTCACGGATAATCAAGTCTACGCCTTTGCTGGGCCGTATCCCCTAAAGAGATTGCAATACTGGGAGTAAATAGGCTTTTATGGCATGGTTAACTTGTCTAAAACTAGCCTCAGGTCCATCCCATAGATGCTACTGGTGCCAGTCTTCTTTTGGGAAGGTTCGACAGACACTCTCCAGCTGCCTTGTGGCATGTTGATGCCGATCTTGCCTGACGTTGTTTCCACCAAACTTAAAATATTTGCACCTCTTGATAGCCCGTGGAACAACATGTTCGCTTGTGGAAGACGGGTTTGGTTTGATCACCATAAACGAACCATTTTTGGACGCTTCCCTTAAATGACGGTAACCTTGTGGGTTGTGTGCTCTTGCACTCCTTGTTTTTTTGCAGTAGTTAGGACAATTAAGACACAATCAATGATCAAGATATAAACCTTAATCATAGAGCTACTCTGAATCAAGAGGTAACCCCTACAAGTATCCTCTGATCTGCATCTCTCAAGGTCGTTGTACCCAAGTTCGGACTTGAGTTGAACCTTTTGGAAAGTCTTAATGATCATCTTTGTACCAGGATCAAACTCTCTGAGGCCAAACTAGAAGAATCTGAGTCGCACTTTCCTGCCTGATCAATTGTTAGTCTTTTATTTTGTAGTGGCTATGACCACTTCATGTAATGACTCAGCCATCTTTGGCGAGTTTTAATGTTTGTAATGACTTTACCATTTTGGTATTTTTAATACCATTGTGGCAACTTTTGCTTTGTTTAGTACATTATTCTTGTTTAGTTTGAACTTCTTGTAGCATAAGTTTGTATCATTTTAGGTACTTACCATTTACTCTAAGAATTCGTTTGTCTGCAGACAGTTCTTAAATTTCATAAGCGTTGTTTGAAAACACTTGAAGAATTCAAAACAGTCCTTCCCAATTTATGGACCACTTTCCTGGGTGTTAGATGTCAATCTTGTCTTAAATTAATCATTTATAATGGGCATTTTCAACTCTTTTGTGTTGATTTGTTGGAATTACTACTTGAAAGTTTGTCATTCTTCAATTGTTTGAAAATACCTTTGGTACCTTTAATTTGTGTGTTATTGTGCAGAAAATAGGCATAAAATCATCAAAGTGTGAGACACAAGGAAAGTGAACAAGGCTGACAAAGGAAAAGAAGAATATTAGTAATTAAGTTCGCTGGGTGAACTTGCTAGCAAACGTTCGCTTTGTGAACAACTGGTGAAGAACCAGCGAATACTCCCAGGTTTGAGGCAGTAACAAAAGGCATGTAAGTTTGTTGGGAGAACAAGCCAATGAAGGTTCGCTATGGCAACGCGTCAGTGAAGAGCTAGCGAAGTATCCTAGATGTCACAGTGAGAATTGGATATCAAGCTATTATACTAACTTGAATCATAAATCATAAAATATCACCACCGATCTTTAATTTATCTTAAATAAAATGCAAAGCAAAAAGCAAGGCCTAAAACTAAGCAAAAGAAAGATCAAAGGTACGGGGGTTTGTTATACTAAGGGAATGTACTAGCATCCTAAGCATTCTGTAGCAATCTACAGGAACCTCTTGAAATATTTGTGTTATTGCTAAATTTTTTTGCTAAGATAAGGATGGGTGAAGTAAAGAGAAAAGGTGGAAAAAGGAAAAAGGTAGAAAAATAAAAAGGTAGCTCGCTAGGATCTCGCAATCCTATGCCTACATGTCCTTAAGAGGAAGTCAGAGTAATCGTAGTTCAAAACTACGTGTGGAAAAAAGAAAATTGTGAAAAAAGAAAAGGTTGTAAAAGGAGAAATGAGGGAAAAAAGAAAAGTGTGCTCGCCAAGGATCATGGCCTTGTGCCTACGTATTCTCAAAAGAAACTTTGAGAAATCAGAGCGTCCGTAGTTCGTGGAACTACGAGTTGCCAGGTTCTAAAAACCAAGAACTATAAAGAGAAGTAAAGAGCAGACGAGGCACATGCACAATGACGATAAGTCAACATACAGTTCCTTCCCTTGGATTAGGTCAACAAGGATAGAAAACAAAGGAACAATTATGCGATATTTTAGAGTTATAAAGGTTTATGAAGGTGACTAACTCAAATCAAGTGAAAATCTTATGATTTTGTCATTTTTAGTGTTCTACTTGCATTAAAAGGGAAATCTTGATTTAGACCAATGTTTGTTTGCATTTTGACTTGAAGTGTTCAATGTTGTCTTGATTGTCCATTGTATAAAAACATTTATATTAATTTGTAAAAATAGTGGAAGACCCCAACAAATTTCAATGTTCGCCATCGGAGAATCGACTAGAAGCTTGAGGGGAGGAATGTACTGAACCAATGTACATTTAGTGCATAATTTCTCTCTCTTTTTTTATCTCTTTTAAATTCCAACATAGATTTGTTTGATCTTAAGCTTCATTGCTTTACTAGAATCCTATGTGGCTAGTTTTAATATACTTATAAATATTTTTGCGTAAGTGTAGGTTTGTGATAAATTCAATCATTTAAATCTTCTTGTGGTGATTATAATTGTATAAACATGTAATGTTAGATTGTTTCTTCAATTAATAAGATTCAATTTAGACACCTTGTGTAAATTGAATTCAATTAATTGAAGCATTTACTGTTTAATGTTCTTATCTTCCACATCCATTGAAATTTTGATATTTTGAGTAAATTGTGAAGTCGTTCCAATCACACTTCTATTATAAAATTCAACGACCAAGTTTTTTTTAAAAATCTAATTTTGAAGAAAACTTCTGAAATTGATTTTAAAGGGGAAAAGTCTATTTAGCCCACTGCTTCTTGACCATACTACACATATAGTCTCTCCCAACAAAAGGCACAAATTAGAGAGGTGTAGAGAAGATAAATTCCTTTGGCGCAGTGATTGACAAGTGCAATAAACTACGCTTCAAATTTGTTGAATATGGCTTGGGTGACTATTGTTGTAGCCTGATCACAATGCCCAAATGACTGCGAACCAACCCAATATAGAGCCTTCCAAAGATATTCTATCAAAGAAGCTTATAAACCGTTGGATCTGGCAATCACATAGTGTCAACGTCACTATGGTGCCATCATGCCAATGATGTCACCCTTTTTAGATTTGTAATCCACATGAATGTTCTAGCACAGTGGAACTTGTGATCGACATGCCTTAGAGGAACATATGATTAAACGAAAACCATTAGAGCATGGTTGTTAGATAATATAACAATTAATATTCTGACATCTGCCCT